GCTCAGCGTTGAGGCGGTTCTGGCAGAAATAACGATATATGATAGACGGAAAAGGCTTGAGGAGATGACGAAAGGCAACAGTCTGGGAGATGCGTACAAGGCGACCCTAACACGAGTGAAGTTGCAGAACGCGACCAAATCAAGAATCGGTATGGAGGTCCTGATGTGGGTGTCTCATTCGGAACACCCACTACGGATCGACGAACTATGTCATTCCCCCGCAGTTGAAACGGGATCCAGAGATCTGAATGCCCAGAGTGTCCCTTCCGTAAAGACATTGCTGGGCTGCTGTCTAGGCCTAGTCGCCGTCGAGGTGTCATCATCCACTGTCCGCCTGGTTCATTTTACTCTTCAAGAATATCCCAACAAAAACCCTGCACTGTTCTGCAGTCCCCACGCCATGATTGCCGAGGTTTGTTTAACCTATCTCAACTTTCACTCCATTATGGAACTTTTGCCCGATTCTTCTTTGACTCCATCAGCAGCTTGCTTGCTTCGCTATGCTTCCCACTACTGGGGAACACATGTTAGGAGGGAAGTCAATGAAAATATAAAACCTTTTATGCACAGCCTTTTTAGTGTTTACGATAGGCACATATCATCTAGGCTGTTCCTATCGCACATCCAGGGCGAATCGAGACTTGGCCTCCCGGGGCTCGGGACACTAAAGGGTTTACAGGATTTCACTGTGCGGCATTTCTCGGGCTCTCTGAGATAATGACTGATTTACTGGGGATGAATAAATGAGATCCTAATGCGGTTGATTGGGATGGCAACACGGCCATCATGCGTGCTGCTAGACAGGGGCATGGGGCAGTCGTGAAACTGCTATTAGAACAAGATGGTATCGATCCAGACAAGGCAGATCTGGGCGGCCGGACGCTGCTTTGGTGGGCTGCTGTGATAGGACATGGCGGTATTGTGGAGGCATTATTTGAACGAAACGACGTTAACCCCAACCCAGTCGATATACATGGCGAACCACTGCTCTTATGGCTGTCCGGGAAAGACGTGAGGATCTTGTCTGCGGGCTTCTAGAACAGGCAAACGTCAACCCCAACAAGCCAGATCACCTTGGGCGAACCGCACTCTCTCGAGCTGCCGAGCTTGGGAATGATGGCATTGTTAAGGCGCTCTTGGAACGAGTAGATGTAAATTTCGAGATTCCCGATCACCAGGCGCGAACACCCCTCTGGTGGGCTGCTGTCGCTGGGCAGTGCGATGTGACGAAGCTGCTGCTGGAGCGGATTGGTATCAATCCCGATAGACCGGATTCATATGGCCGAACACTACTCTCACATGCTGCTGAGCATGTGAAAGAATGTGTTGTGAAGATGCTACTGGAATGGGAAGATGTTAACCCCAATACGGTGGATCTATATGGCCGAACCCCTCTGACCTGGGCTGCCGCGAGTGGGGGTGAGGGTGTCGTGGGAATGCTGCTCAACCACGTCGACATCAAGCCCGACATTCCGGATAATGATGGCCGAACACCGCTCTCGTGGGCTGTTTGGAACGGACATCAGGGGGTTGTGAAGATCCTACTCGAACGTGAAGATGTCAGCCCCGATACGAGAGATCTCAGCGGCGAGACACTTCTTTCCTGGGCGTCACAGCCATCATTACGCGATCGCGAAGCATCTATTGAAACGGAAGTATTGTAACCAATCACCTGGTAGCGAAGATTCATCAGAGATTCTGTCACCAGGACAATCCGAGATACCTGAACCCCCTCCCAACGCATTCGCAGGCATTGGCTTACTGGGCCGAGACCCAGAATTCGCCCCACTTCCACCCCATGGTGGCAGTTAGCTAACTCTTAGCCATGCTCCTCCCCTCCTATTTCTGTGGCTCCAATTTTTGTTTTCTTTCCCCCTCTCTTCCTTTCTTTTCTACCGGCAACTGCGTCATCTGAGAAGAACTCGCGGGGCCCGGCTAGGATAAGGCATACATAAGCTTGCATAATAATATTATAATAAAAGTTTTACGTGCAACACCCAGGAGTAAGTGACCGGAGATGAGCGGGGAGAGTTTCTTGGCGATTACTCAGTATCAGCTACCCCAACAATACCCTTAGTATCTCTCCCCCCCGTCTTTCTTCTTCCACCACCTATCAGGTCTCTTTGTCTTCATAATATTACACATCTCTCCCCCCCATTCTAGTTCTAAACTCTCTTAATATTCGTTCTTGTACCGCATATATTCTTGGTAGATCAGAATACCTATCGTACTCAAAGCACTCAGGAATCCAAAGGTTATAAGGGCAGTCTATTTTTTCAGATACCCAGTCCGTATGTTTTAGTGCGAGATCTGCACACATACTGGTAAGACGAATCGGAAAAGCAGTGTCTTCAAGCCACAAGCAGTACCTCTCCTAGGACGGTCTATACCACTTCTCGACACCGTTTCGCCCCAGATTTAAAGATGTTGCTTAGCACGCTCCAGCAGAGCTTGCCCGCAAGCCCCAGAATCTTCCCAGTAAAAAACCAGTTTCCGATCCACGCTGGTATAATACGTAGAAATACCGGTAGAGGAATTATTTCAGCCTCTGTCTTAGGACAAACATGAGCCCTTCAGAATCCTGTTACACTTCGTTTGGGGCCAACCTCCATTTACAACATCTATTCCAACCGCCGAACTCGCCCAAAAACCCTCACTACTCAATCCACTCTCGCCACGAATCCTAAAATCCCACTTCTAAAGTACATGACCGAAACCATAACTCGGGGTTCGCCAGGAGTGGTAGGCCAGAGTGGAACATTCAAACAAAAGGGATAGATGTCTAGCGGGGCGGCAAAGGGAGAAAGCCGTAAGTTTGTATCCGCCACTTTTAATAGAGGGGTGATCTGATTTACTTATTGAGGGGGGGGGTACGGTGGGCTCAGGAAATAACCCACTGTGATATCCTCGTCTCCCGATATTTCTTTCTCCGCTCCAATGTTGTATTGTGGGTTTAATATTGTTACGCAAAGCCGCACCGCCACACAAAACAGCATGCGGTAAGATATAGATAGCACTTAAGTTATTCTTGGATCATATCTCACCCTAAGTCATGAATACGTCCGCCGCGGCTCGTAAAGTGTGATTGAACGGTGAATAGCGCAGCGAGACTTACGAGCTTTTGGTTGGTTTTTGGCCCCCGGATATTATTACGTTAAAAAAGCGCTTAAGGTTAAACAATGCAGTCATCCGCTCACAATCCAATGCCATATTTCCCCTACGAATACAGGCAAGCAAATAGGGAAAATAGCGGAACCCGAAATATTTTGCGATACTACCCCCCTATGTTCATCAGTACCGGTAATCCGGTTGGCAGAATGCCGGGCGAATCTGCTCCTGCACGTCCTAACTCCGGTTCAGCTATGCATCATATTGCTCAACCTTTTAGCATAAATCACAATTTCTAATTTACGGGTCTCCGCCGCTATGGGAAACTCTCTCAAGTCTAAGCTATACCGCTCAACCTATCAGGGAGATGGAGAATTTGCTTAGCACCTAGGTGTAGTCTGCCCGCAAGTGCCTTTGGAGCCATGGTTTGGATCTCTCGGACCGCAGGATTTCCTTTTCTCTCGTCCCTTGTTTGTACAACTAATTCAGACATCGTCTTCTTCTAAGTTGATCTACTTCGTACGGCATGATATTGACAGATACCTGTGTTAACGCTGGGGGGGACAGACGGACAGATGTCCCGTGTGCAAATTCCTCTCCAATGGAATACTCCTTCCGGGATTGGTTCTGGGTGATGGGGTAAGGTGGTAATTGATGGCCACAGCTTGTTTATTCTAAGGGGAAAAGTCTGCATAGGTGATCAATGCATTATGAGTGTTTCGGCAACTAACTCACTAAACATTATGCTTGTATAGTAAGATTAGACTTGCCTAATTGGTTATCCCTCATGTTATTACTACCCATTTGGGCATCCCATCCACTACTATCACTTCCAGATTAGTTTACTACTGTAGCTCGTATTGCTTGCTTTTCCTTTTTTGGATCCCATTATTATTTTACTAGTTTTATCCTGTTTGCCTTAGACTTACCTGTTTGCACCTTTCACTCCTTCGCCAACCAGTTACATGATCTCCTCGGACATGATATCTTCAATATGGCTACACTTCCCAACTTAATAACCATTTTTTGTATTTAAATAGTCTGCAATCCCCTAGGAATCCAGTCACTCAAGCTCTATAGAAAGAAATACCTTCTTAGTATGCTATCAGTTGAATAGTGACTCTATCAGTCCCTCGTCTTTATATCTTAGAAGAATACCCATCACCACTTCTCCCCTATGCTATCAGCATCTAAGAATCCCTTTGAGGTCCCCAAGATTCTATGGAGTAAGTCACAGACTATCACCTCTAGATTCCCAGCAGCAGCACCAAAGTATCCGAACCGGGAAGGCTCGATAGCCTCTAGGAACCAACAAGATTAGAAAATGGAGCAACAGAGAGGCTGGTGATCCCCAGCCATCCTATTCCGTTACCGGAATCCGGACGTGGGAACGGCCTACCTCGCGTAAGAGCCCTCTTCTTCTCAACAAGCAAAGTGGTGTCATCGAAGAGCAGCAAACATTAGCCTCCTAGTGGTTGACGATCCATGCGATCAACCGTTTGGAAATGGCCTCACCGTTGCAGGGCTGCACTGCGGTTTCCTTGTTCATTAGGAGCAGTCCACCACAAACATGCTAGTAGCTATCCTCCAGCAGATCCTAGCTAGAGAGGATATCTTGAGTATGTATGATCCAGCAGAGTTCTCTAACTGCGAAAAGGGAGTTTGGCGGGCGGCGTCTACGACTTGGACTGGTCGGAGTGCTGGGAGCTGTGGCGTTGCTATCCCGCCAGAGGTTTTTATCTGTCCAAACAGCTGGATTCTCATAATCGGGCTCCCACTACGAATCGCAGTAAAACGGACAATCTTCATTCAACGGTTTAATAACATATTCCTAATTCGCCCCCGCCAAAAGTCAAAAAAACCAAAATCCTTTTGATAAATTGTAACTTATATTATGCCTTTTTTCCTTCGCTCACAGCCTCCTTCTCCGGCATGTATGGATGTGACGAGACTGCCGGTGGCCAGTCCGTGTCCTCCTTCCATACCCTATCGAAAACGTGCACACCGGATCCAACTTCCAGGACTTGCGCGCCTGTATCTTTATCTCCCGCCTTCCCCGCTTCCTCTTCTTCCTCCTCTGACCCACCCCCAGCACTCTCCTCAACAAGAACGTCCTCGTCTCTAGATCCCCTCGGAAATACAATACCAGCACTAACATTCCCGGGGATCCTAACCTTCAACTTAAACCTCCCATCCTTGACCTCCCAGCGGACATACACCTCCCCATAGACACTCAAAAATCTAACTTCAGCCCACGAAACCTCCCCTCCAGGAACCGGCGCGACCCAAATCCTCTTCCAACCGGGCGCGGCAGGCGCGATCCCTCCGATACTAGCGTGCATCCACTCCGCCACCGCGCCGAGGGCATAGTGGTTGAATGAGGTCATTTCAGCCGGGTTTATACTGCCGTCGGGCAGTATCCCATCCCAACGCTCCCAGATAGTCGTCGCGTCATGCTGCAGTGGATACAGCCAGCTGGGGCACTTTTGTTCATGCAGCATACGATAAGCTAGCTGGCGGTTTCCAGTTGTGGTGAGGGTCGGTAGGATATACGGGGTGCCGGCAAAGCCGGTCGCGATCCTGAACTTTGACTTTTGGACGACTTCAGCGAGGCGCTTGCTCGCTGCTTCGACTTGTGTCGGAGTGGGGAGGATGTTGAAGCGGAGGGCCAGGACATATGCCGTCTGAGAGTCGGATGATAGACGACCGGCGGGAGTTACATATTCTTGGTTGAAAGCTTGGCGAAGAGTGCACGCGGAGGTGGCGTATGCTGCAGCACCATCTGGATCACCGAGGATGGTGGAGATTCGGGAGAGGAGATCTGTAACGTGGATTAGAAATGCGTTCGCAACGAGCATCGGATCTGTACACCCATCCTGTGGGGCGTCGCCTGGCGCACTGGGATCCAGCCAGTCTCCGAATTGGAAGGTTCTAGACCAGAGACCTGTGGCCGGGTCCCGTGGGATCCCGGAGGAGAGCCAGGACTTCATGCTAGCGAGTTGAGAGTAGAGTATGTTTACGTCCCCAAATCGGGTGTATAGCACCCATGGGAGCACTATCGCAACGTCTTGCCAGACCGCTTGGGGTAAGCGTGGGAATTTTCCGGGGTCAATAACATCGGGTACAACTAGCGGTGGCACGCAATGATCGTTGTCCATTTGCTCAAAGGCAAGGTCTTGAAGCCAACCTTGGAGCATACCGCTGCAATCGTAAAGAAAGCTCGCCGTCTCTGAGAAAACGTGAATATCCCCCGTCCATCCCAGACGCTCATCCCGCTGCGGACAATCTGTCGGGATTTCAAGAAAGTTCCCGCGCATACCCCAGACGACGTTCCGGTGGAGTCTGTTAATCAGCTTGTCGGAACATGAGAACCAGCCTGTGCGCTGCATGTCCGTGTGTAGCACTCGAGCTTCCACGCTTTTTAGGAGGTCCGAGATTGGAGGCCAATTATCCACCTGAACGTAGCGGAAGCCGTGGAATGTAAATTTCGGCTCGTAGGTTTCCGGTTCGTCGCTACCCTTCATGATGTAGTGGTCGGTGCATTGTGCTGCACGGAGCGGCCGAGTCGCCACCTCTCCGGACTTTTCGAGAACTTCAGTGTGGGTGAAGGTGACTTTGTGACCAGAGGGGCCGCAGAGCTTGATTCGCAGGCGGCCTACGAGGTTTTGTCCAAAATCTACTACCGTCTTTCCGGATGGGGTTGTAAAGACTTTTACGGGGGCTACTATCTCGGTGCAGCGGACTGGTGGCCCGGGTGGAGACACTAGAGCTGCGGTGGGGAACGGTAGTTCTCGTACGGCTTTCCAGTCACTGGATCCGGTATACCCCGGTGAAGACCATCCGGGCTTCTCCTTCCGCGCGTCATAAAATTCCCCATCGTAAATCTCTGAATAGAGAATGGCCCCCGTTGAAGCTTTCCACGAATCATCCGAGACAACTTTGGTAACCGTATCGTCCTCGTAGGTAATCTCCAACTGGAATATCAATCCGATATCCTTTCCGTATATCGCTGTTCTACCCCCTTTTTACCCGTCAATAGTCAGCAACGCTCCACCGTCCCCGAATCGCACGAGACAAACCTTCAAACCCTATCCTCCCTCTATACCACCCCTCCCCCAAATACGCCCCCACAGCATTCTCCCCTTTACGGAGTAAGTCCGCAACGTCAAACGTCTGGTACTTGATCCGATGCCCATAACTCGTCCACCCGGGCGCAAATTCCTCATCTCCAACCTTCCTCCCATTAATCTCGACCTCATAAACCCCCAGCGCCGTAACATACAACCTCGCCCTCTTGACCATTTTATCCCCATCCCTCAATGTAAACTCCTTCCTCAATAAAGTGACTGGTACCCTCCCAGTCAAGTCCGCCACTCCAACAGCACATATCGGCACAGCACTCCAATCCTCCTGTTCAAATAACCCCCCCTCGACACTGACCTCATTAGACCATACATCTTGTTCCTCGCCAACCCCACGCACAGCGACTTTTACGTTGACAATCTCCCTCGAGGAGATATCTGCCCCGGGCCATGTTACTGCGACACTAGCGGCGGAATTGACGTAGTAGGTAGTTGGTTGCCAGTCCGGACGGTCCAGCCGGATTTGATAAGTTGTCTGCTGCCAATCGGATTTATTAGGCGTAGTTCTCCAAGATAAAGTCGGGGATTTGGAGGGGGCCGAGAGGAGGTGTTTAGTCGGGCGTTGGCGGTCAAAGGTAATGGAGTCTACCGACATTACGGATCTGGGGTTTTGGCTGGTTGGTTGGTTGTCGGGAATTTTAGTGCGGGGGTGAACCTACGGGTATAGGTGCGGATGGATACCGGTAAGTTGAGGGATGAGATGTTCTTACTATTCGAGATGTTATCATACTGCGTTGTGCTGTAATGGGTGCTACAGTGGTTCCGACCCTGAATTGGGCTCTTGTGAGGGAAAGCGCGGATGGGTAGCGTAATTCTAGGGGAATATCGGCCGACGGCCGGGGGAGCGGGGCACGTGGGGGCCGGAGCCGCTAGAATTCTGTGTGGGATCTAATGAAAATTAAGCGAATTTAGCGATCTACCAACTTCGAGACTATTTTAGAGCTAGATAATATACAGGCTAACCAAAGCGCAGTCCCAATACTATCACGACTGCTGAGTACTGATTTTAGTAGGCCAAAGATTAAAGCTCAATGGCAAGCTCTTTAGCGCTGTTAGTGAGAGTGCCGGCGTTCAGGCACAATACTGTATCGGTAGATAGCCTTCCTGCTGCCAATCCATCTAAAACCACCGGCGACTACATAAGAATTAGTCAACGAGACAAGTGAGGCCGACACTATTACTAAGTTATGTAATAATCCATAGCAAAAGGTTGTGTTCTACCCATATGATACTGTCCCCCATGTTACAAGACTGGTGGGCCCGGGCGGCAGGACTTACCCAGGTCCTCCAAATCCAAAACTGCGCCCGGCCTGGGTCACCTGCAGGCCGAGGTTTCAAGTCATCACCTGCGCCTCATTACAGGTATTAAGAAAGATTTTACTCAACAGGACTAATTATTCATAATATTATGTTCACCTGGGGTGGTTAGAGAGTTGTGTGAAGAATGGTATGGAGTGTCTTGGGGTAGGAACAGTATAATGGTTGAGCAGATGTGGGCATCGTGGTAGTAATTTAGTCCAAGTAGTCTAGATGACATACTGTAGGTTAGCCTTAAGCGAAATCCACAGCACCAGGAGCATGTTGCTCTTATTCTCGTCCGGGAAATTAAAAGTGGAAAGCCAGCAGGCTGTTCACAGGTATGTTCTGATTGCTTAGGTATCTGGTGGTCTTGCCTCGGGTTGCCGCAAGGTTCGACCCGGAGGTTTATACCTTGGAACCGCGGTGCTTGGGGGGCTGCAGATAATTTCGACCCGGCAGATCCAGGCTTTTCAAAACCATGGCCCGGACTGGCAGCTTCGGGTCACTACTTAGTCTACAGCAATCTTCCTCTCCTAATATCGTTCCTTTCTCTACCGGCCGCTGAGGCTACCGCATATCGCACTCGAGCACTGCGCGATGGCACACCAGCATATGATTGTCGGGCTTTTCATATATCAAGAATGGTGTTTCCCCCCCCCCACAGGTTTACAATACACCTAGGAGTTGTTCAATTATCGCTGTTTTTCGCCCAGTGATGCATTCGGCTATTTTAACAAGCATGTCAATATTTGAGAAAAGTAGTTGCAGTTTCGAACGAAGTCTGTGTGAACTTCCGAGACGGGAATCTTCTATCATAATGAAGCACCCTTTTGCACGAACTCTCACAGCAATGGAATTTATCTCACTCATCTAGGTAGTAAACCATCTGGCTTGCTTGACAAGTATAGGGCTCGAGTGTAGTACTGGCACCATGGGGTCCTAAAGAAATCATTGAGCCCCTTAACTGTCAGCGCCTAGAAAATCCCTCTCCAAAAACAAACCACTTTCCTGGTGCTCTCGGAGTAATATATTTTTCGGTTTTCTGAATCTTCCTCACTAAAGCTCGTTGAATTTTGTTGGAGTAAAGTTACAGTACGATAGAGCCCACTTTCTTGTGTCATTGGATTCCGGCCTCTATACGGTTACTTAGGCAACCGTACTACGAGCTGAGAGCCTCACTCAGGGAGCCCCACTCGGTTCGATGAGCATTGACCACCAATCCCTCCATTAAAGATTCGAAGTGCCAACTTTACTTTGTGTCATAAACCCCAAATGTTCCGGCAGGATCGTAATGCCTTTTCGGGAATGTCAATGCCCAAAAGAGCATCCTCAAATGCCACACTAACCATCTTTCCAGCATTGGATAACCCCAACAGTCCAGGCCCAAAGCCCCTCGCCGCCTTTCTGTGCTAGGGTATACGACCACCAAACATCTCCATCGGCGCCATACCAAGCTCCTAGAATGCCCCTTCTATCCCTTCCAAACGAGCTCCTCCTCCAAGTCTCCCAATATCAATCCCTCTCAGGCAATTACCCCCTCCTCCTTACCAACCGCCGCCTGTCTCAGCTACTCAGATCCGTCCTGCACAACAGCTTATTCCGTGCGCGCTCCTGCACAGATGGCAGACGTGCGCTCTTACACGCCGCTTCCAGCGGGGACACAACCACCGTGCGTACCCTTATCACTCGGAGGATCTTAGAGTTCACAGAAAAGGGCGGAATCCTCCAACATGCACTCGAGGCTTTCGAAAATGACAACCTCGTGCGTGTGTTACTAAACTTCCAGGTCCCTGCGGATGGGTTCGACCATTCCTATCTGACGCTCCTAGCGCGCGGCGTCAAGGCGGAGAGGGTGGAAGTTGTGAAGTTCCTAGTTGGGCGGGAAGGTAGATGTTAATGTTGGGCCGTTCAGTACAAGCCCGCCACTCGGATGGGAAACCCCGTTATCAGTCGCTGTTTCCCTCAGAAATGCGAAAATGGTTAGACTCCTGCTCGGAGATCCGAGGACGAAAGTAAACCTTGATATACACCACAATCACAACCCCCTTGGCCTCGCCGCGTCCAAAGGAAATGCCACCCTAGTTCGCCTCCTCATGCAAGACCGCGCGTGGATGTGAATACGTTCGACGTTTCCGGGGGGAACCCGCTGTTAAATGGCGCCCGCTCCGGGGAAACTTCTGTAGTAAGCCAACTACTCGCAGACGCAAGAGTCGGCGTCTGCGTCGTAGACCACAACCGAAAATCAGCAATCCACATCGCGGCGCGGCATAGACACCCGCATATCCTCCGACTCTTGGTAGAAGACGGAAGAATAGACGTGAACACCTTAAGTGAGTGTGGCAGCACAGCGCTAGAACTTGCGATCAAACGTTTCTAGTCAGGAGAGCTCCGAGATGGGGCGGTACGGGAGGAATGCGCACGTTGGATCCTCTCGCACAAAAGCTTCGACCCAAGCACACCGAATAGATAGGGCGTGCCGGTGCTGCACGTCGCAGCGTGCTTCACCACACCCGGTATAACCAGGATATTACTCACGGAGGGAAGATTCGATGCCGACACCGTTAATGATGCCGCCCTAAATCTACCCTTCTCCGCATCCCCCGTCAAATCCAATTGTCTACAAGAGCTTTTTCGGGACACCTGGCTCGATGTCAACTACCGGAATTCGGATGGTGAGACGATATTGCATCGTGCAGTTCGCAGTCGCTCAGTAGGAATACTGTAGGTGTTGCTCGAAGATGGGAGGTTCGATGTTAACGCTTTTGACGATAACATGGCAACGCCGTTGCATGCAGCTGCTAACCGATGAACGATGATGTTGCTTGGCTGTTGTTGACGAAGGGTGATGGTCGGGGGGTTGATGTTGGATTGAAGGATTGTAATAGGAGAGTTTAGCAGGTCCGGGGCACAGTTCGCTAGGCCAAGACAGTATATATAAAGAGTTTAGGGAGGATACCCGAAGATCATCCCTCCCCACCTAGGCGGTTATATACCCGCCTAGAAAGTGTCTTGTCTTTGAATGCCTCTTAGGTGGTAACAAGAGCTGGTGGGGTGAATTTTTGAAGTGGAATTTAAAGCTCAAACCCTAGGGTGATTATTAAAAAGTAAATGGAGAAAAAATATCAGGTTTCAAGAAAGTCGTCAGGAGAGAAACTGAGGTTAAAGATTTTGTTAGGAAACTAATCGGGATTAGTACACTTTCCCCACTGGCCCATGACCGCTATCAATGGAAATGGACTCTTGCTAAATCCGAGGAGCGCAGTTGGGGTAGGGCTAGGGAGTTATTCCATTTTCATTACCCTGGCGAACCGTGCCCTTGGACCTGCTAAACTCTCCTAGTGGGGATACTGCATCGGATATCCGCGGTCAAGGGGGGTTTCAAAAAACTGCGCTTGTTCTGCAGGGGCAGGGACCAGCGGATAAGGATGAGATTATGCGACACGTTAACTTGGAGAACCGTCCATTATCCGTGCATTTAGAGCGTACGGTAATTGAGTGGGATGGGGGAGCACCATTTTGTATGTCTTTTGAAGTAGCAGTAAGTGATTATTTGCCAGTGAGCCCGAAGGAAATGGCGCCGAAACAGCTCGCGGACCAAGTAATCCCAGTTCCAGAGATCTTAAAACCGCAGTGGCACTGTCAGTGATTATGGTGATAACTCTCCGCAATGAGCTGGGACCTGTCCCTTAACCAGACAATGCTCTCACCAAGTCACAAGGCCGCCAGCCTACAATATCGCGAGCACCCCGCACTGACAAACATTGTGCAGATGATTTATGATACACCACTCGGGCTGCCAATGGATAGGAATGTTAGACGAGTAGAACGCAACGGGCGTAATAGATACAAACTGTACAAGAATACAGGAAACTTAAATATTATAAAAAAGAAACAACGACTCCGAACATCACGAGATCCAACCACCGCATCGGTATGACGACCAAGTGCGAGATAAATCGCGGCACAATAAAGCAGAAATTAACTCGCTGTCACCATATCGCACCAAAGGCTCATAACCTGAGCAGCGGGGGGGGTATTCGAAGGAAAACGAGATAAGCCATCCTCACCAAAGTCCGGATATCAAAGCTATTATTAACTTATCCGGTTACCAAAACCTCCAACCTATACTCCATCCATACCGTTTTACACATCCATTCGGCATCCGGGTCGGACCCGGTCGCCACTAATTTCTACAGTATCATTCCTCCCTTAATGAAGTGGTTTTTACCCCACTACATTTCCATACTTCATTGCTTGATGGAGGCGGATCTTCACAGCCTGTCAACCTATGGTGACCCAGGCGAGGTGGGTGGGTCGCTAGGAAGAACTGGAAATCCTTGCAACCCGGGCCGCACAGGAGAAAAAAATGAAAAGTACAAGATGCGGTGTATCAATAGCCGAGTGGGAAGCAATGACGGGTAGCCGGTGTTAGAGCCTCAGGGTGGACGTCGAAAAGTCACTAGTGGGTTGTTTGGCGGGCTGTCCCACCCAAGGCTATGAGACATCGCTTTGCTGATAGTGGAGCAAAAACGATGAAAGAACAGGAAAAACACCAAAACTGACGCTTTTCAAACAACCAATACGGTTCTCCAGTACCTCCCTGTGCCGCCACGGAACAAAATATGATGTGAAAAATGCTACTGTATTTTCCGTTGCTTCACCAATTTCACTCCCTTGCCGCATGCGCAGAGCGAAGCCGGGCAAACCTTGAAATTTGAAACTTTATGATATCTGCACTGATAACCTTCCACAAACGTAGATCAATAGTCGAACAGCCATGCATCTTACTCCTAAACACTAACAGCTGTTTAGATCTTGAATATCAGAACCCAGGTCAAAATTTATAAAATCCCTGCTCAATAAACTCGTTACACCATTCCACTCACCACCGCCCAGCCAGATACTCACAATAACACAGCATATTAACATATCAGTACCAGCATCTTCAAGCAAAACTCCCACTCTCGAACACAATATTCACAATGCCCAGAGTCGCTGTCGATCAAGTCCCCACTCAAAAGGTCCCCCCACAGGTCCACCCCCTTAGGCGCTACCCAGGGGCCCGCAGAATCTATTGCCGTGACAACAACACCCGGCAAATCTTCGACCTTGGGAACGGGAAACTGTATAAATTCCGCCCACACAAGCACGGCGTGTACGAGTCCGACATTCACGCCCTCATCCAGGCCACCACCCGCATCCCCATCCCCACCATCTACCACGAGTGGGTGACTGTCGAAGGTGGTAATGGAAATGGCGGCAACAGCGGTGCCCTGGTCCATCACATGGTTATGGAAAAGATCGAGGGTGAACCGTTGCACAAAGTCTGGGTACACCTTAATAGAGAAGCCAAAGAAAGACTTGTTCGTCAGTTTGCGGGTTACCTCGATGAACTGCGCAGGATTACCTCTCCAATTATTCGCTCGTTCGAGGGCGGCGCATTGCACGACGAGCACGGGGTTCTATTTGACAGGAGAAATACCGCTCAGGGACCATTCACTGATAATCAATCCCTCTGGCTTGCGCTAACCTCTCACCTCCACCACAGCCCTTCCCGCACAATGCATCAAGCGCTCATCGACCTTCGCTCCATTATGCCCAACGGATTCCCTGCCGTGCTAACACACGCAGATCTACACCAGGGTAATATTCTTGTTCGCCATGGCAATATCGCTGCAATCATTGACTGGGAGGGAGCTGGGTTCTTCCCGAGCTGGCTGGAGTACGTCCGGTACCATCCCACCAGCAACGCTCCCGAGTTTGAGTTTGAGAATTTGGTGGTGAGGGGTATGCAGTCTTATCCGGTTGCCAGACGGTTCGTAGCTATTTTAGATGCGCTCAGGGGCCCCGAGCCCGAGGTTGTAGAGTGGGCAGTCGGGCAGTTGAGGCGTTAAGTTCGGTTGTGAGTTATCCAGGAGATTTTGAGACCATCAGTTGGGCAATGGCAGTGCATGTGGTCCCCGGAGTGAGTGGATTGTTTCCGTTTTCCTTTCTCTTACTGCTTGGTCTTGAAGGCTTTTGTTTACCTGCGAGTGAGAAGGAATGACGTGGCAGTTGGAAGTTTTGTAGAATTGCAAGGTTTCTTTGGTATATTCGAGTGTTATAAGTCCCGTACGGCCTGTGTGCAGGACCGTTAGCGTGGGGTGGGGGATCACTATAGATTCTATTGCCGGTTGAACTTAACTTTTAATAATAACGAGCAGAATATAGTATGATAATCTACAATCTTTCAAACTACACTATCCGTCCCCAAAAATTTCGCTGTCAAGATTTTCTGTCTTGATTGGTTTCAAATGAATTGAACCCCGTGAGTATAATACTTTCGCTAGTACAGTCTTATCCAAGGTAGGACCTAGAACCCTCCCGAGTGTTATATCAGGTAGGGTCGTGGTGAATAGTAAACCTGTTTGAATACAGGATCAAGCCCCACCGCTTGAGCTATAAAAAGGAGGAAACCCACCCACTCCCCACGATATCCTAACCACCCTACGATCTCCTCACCGCCCCACCCACACCCTCCCCCCCCTTCCACAATCACAGCCAAATCAAACTCTTAAAAAAAAAACCCCAAAATCTACTAAAGTTTCCTCCTCATACTTACTCCCCGAGCACTGTGGCCAGACCTCCGACGCGATGGGCTATCCTCCACTCTCCAGCTACTCCCCCGCCGCCAAAACCGAGTTCCAGAACATCACCGACGACCGATACAACCAGTACGTCAAACTCTTCGAAGACTCCAAGCAGCAATACAGAGCCCATATCACCAGCGTGAACAGCATGGAACTACGCAACCTTGCCCAGGGCGAGGCCGGCAGAGCCGAAGACTATCATGAGTGCAACAAATGGGTCCAATTAGAGCTCAACAACCTCCAGAAAGCCTGGGAGAAGAGGATTCTTGTCCTGTTCAATAAGGCCAGCAAGGGAGAAATCTTCGATGTCTAGGCGGTTGGACGTTTATGGGGTATTTTTGCTTTCTTCTTTCTGGGATTATCGCTTTCATCGAGATATCTGGTATGGATGCATGTCTTGGTGTACTTTGTCTGGCAAGGGCTGTGCTGTATTTCAATGATTCAGGGGGAAAAAAAATCCCCTCCTATTGGCAGGACGCCCAAGGGGGCTTACCGCGGCCAAACTGCCATCGCGCTTCCAATGTGAACAGAAATTCTACAATGAAGGCGAAATCCCACATAGGAAAGGTCCTGCCGAACAGCTGGAACAAAAGGTAAAATGTATAAGAGTAAAGCAAGTCTTAGGAAAAACAAAAGGCGAATACGACAGAAGTCATATCCTTCATTATATCATTTGTTTCACCTGGGATCCGCTTCCACCATAACCATAGCCTTCCTCAACTTCACATTCAACAAAAAAAAAAGGCTCATGATTCGGAAAAAAAAAAACCTAGTGCCCAAATACCGACGTATTATTAAATCCAACGGTAAGCAAAGAGTTGGCCCCCCTCCCCCAAAGGAATTGGTAGTGTAAACTAGCTTTCACATCTCAGCTACAGCCCTGTCTAGCCGGCGTAGTGACCACTCTATTATGATAGCATGATATTGTCCGCGGGACGGTTAGTCATTTCTCAAGCGTTTTAGCTATCTTCAGAGTGATGACCAGTGATTGCCATGAAGACAACCACCTCCTTCGGCCCATAAGCACCTCACATCTATGATAACTTAGCCCACCACACTTTCCTATCATACCACGACCAATGCGCCGAGCGCGAGTCCCTAGAATCCAGGCCATAATCAACACCTGAATCCCAAGCTAAACTTGACATAACCCTCCAATAGGCTGGGCATCCGACCTTAAAAAAAGCCAAAAATTCCTGGAAATGGCTGGGTGTGCTCACACTGAAGGGCTATCTTGACTTCTAAATATATTCATTCAATAACTTGCTCAGCGCCACGATTTTATGATACAAGAGTCGGCTTTCCGTCACAAGAGAGGGGACTAGCCATGGACTTCATGATTGCGTATAGAACCTCCAAGTACAGATCAGTTGAGTAGATATGATATCGCAGATACACAAGACGGAAGGGAGCGGGGAGGTGCACGTGTCAGGCTGGGAGGTGATCTTTAAGACAAAGTAATAACAGCACAATTGACTTTCCGGGGAAGGCCTTGCGGAAGGTCTGTTGCCCGAGGTTCTTTTTTTTTTTTTTTACAGTTCTTTTGCGCTACGGGTTGCTAGCCAAGACAGCGGTGGTAAAAAACTGGAAGTACAAGTAGCGGCGACTTAATAACTAAGTAGCTTGAGAATCGACTCCAAACTTACTAGAGTACAAGTACTGAAGTAGTTGCACCCACAACGAGAGATTGCACCGAAGGCGAGATTCCTTACCAACAAACCAATAATCAAGGTGAGAAAGCTTCCTTTAAAGAAACGAATCTCGCTGTGGGTGCAATCTCGTTACGGGTGCGACCGCTTTGTATCTCAAGTAGCAGCCGAATTGCCGGTGCAACGATACTAGGGATGATACCGGTAGTAATACCCCCGCCTCCCCTACACAGCTTATCGATCAACAATTGACCCCACCCCTCCTCTCCTCCTAGTGAGCTTGCGTCATGCCTGCCCAACACCTTTACTAGTGCGAAAATATCGATATAAAGCAGCCTCTCCCAAGACCTCAATTCACATTTCCCACCAATATTGCAAACCAATCATCGCCACCACCGCCACCACTTACAAACTCACAAAATGGCAACCTTAGTAGTCCACACTCTAGAAGCCGGCCGTGCCTTTCTTCCAGAAAGACTCCTCTTCAACGACACAACCCCCACGAACGCCGACAGAGCGTACGAATTCCCCGCACACGTCTTCCACCTCCACCACCCGGGCAAAAACCTGCGCATGCTGTGGGACGCCGGCATGCGCAGCGACATTTCCACCTACGCGCCCGCAATGCAAGCCGCCTTCGAAGCCTACCTGCACCCATACGTGCGGGAGGACGCCCCGACGGGGCTCTCCCGGAACGGCGTGACTCCTGAGTCCATCGATTACATATTCTGCTCGCACGCACACTTCGATCACACGGGCGACGCGGACAAGTTCCCCAAAGCAAAGATAGTGTACGGTGCGGGTACCCAGTCCCACGTCCGCCCGGCATATCCCATCGACCAGGGGTCGCGCTACCTGGAGAGCCTGTTTCCCGAGGGCCGGACGCTCGAGCTCGCCAAGGGGGATTTCAAGCCCATCGAGGGATTCGCGCCCTGGGACACCGCCTGCGACTTCTTCGGCGATGGGAGTTTACTACTCATTGATGCCCCGGGACACATGCCCGGACACATGATCGCGCTCGCGCGAGTAGAGGGGGGGTACCTGTTGCTCGGCGGGGATAGTTGTCATCACGAAGCGCATTTGAAGGAGTACGTTCCCGGTGGCAGGATGGGGTTTGGGATGCATGAGGATGCGGATGGTGTTCGGGAGAATATCTCGAAGATAGTAGAGTTTGCGAAGGCGCGGGGGGACGTGCGGCTTTGCCTAGCGCACGTTGGTACGTATAAGGATTGGGAGAGGGTTGTGCTGAAAGAGGGGGAGGGGATGAGGTTGTAAGTTTTGGAGGTGAAATGTGGGAAGGGGGAGGGAGGCTGGACGTTTTTTTTCTTTTGTCTGTGTGTTACTCCAGTCCCCTCTCGGACGCGAGTTCGTCCCGTGATATGATGCCGAGTTGCTTCCCGATCAAATCTAAAACCCAACCCCCGGACAGAGCGATCACGGCATCCGGGCGGTGGGCACGCCGATTAGATATTCACCCATCCATATTCCCAATCCCCGGTTGAGATATCGTGATTACCGATATCAGAATTTAGCACACCCCAATTACCCCCCCCTTCCAATTTTACTACTACTGGGACACGCATGCGGAATGTACTTGAGCTGAATTTACTGCGGCTTGCATCTACCGGTACGAAAACATCGGATCAACACACGACCGAACATTCGAGTCTATTTACCCCTATTGCATTTTCGTCCACGAACACAAGATAAAAGGTATAATTCGACATGCAGCCTGGTGACACAAAACACCAGCCAAGGATGAGTGTTGGCCACCCGGTGCTTACTGCTAATGTCTGGATACGGTAGTATCATGATGATCATCCAAATAGATACCACGGTACAGTACTACCATGATACCCCGCAATAATCCAAAAATCACACCAGACAAAACTTTCCCGTCGACGAAAATAAATAAAAATAAAAATAAAAATAAAAATAAAAATAAACAAATGTGCTAAAACGACGTTCCCAACCATTCCAGCTCTCACGGTGATAAATCAGACGGTAGCCTATCCTTGAGAACGAATGGTGTGCTTTGCGCTGCGCGATTATTCCACACTCCCGCCGGCGACCGTGGTAAGCCTACCCACTGCTATTGGGGTGGTCATACAAGGGGGAGGGAAGATTACTCCCAGCTGTATCATAAGACGGGGAAGCTAGATTCGAGCTCCCTCCGCAAGTGACGGGTCAAAAATATCTGGCTTGCTGGCTTAACGGACTCGGTATGATACATATTCGGGTGGTGTTCAGGACCTTGTGGCTCGTTGCCTGTCTTGAGAATCGAGTGAGACTTTGTGACAAGGAGAATATTATATATTATTATACTCTCCAGAAATGGGAGACGGAGGGCGTGTTCATCGTGATATAGGCATATCTATCATAATATCATACCACACCGATGCATAAGTAGACTTCCCCCTTCGTTGGTTAGTTGGTTAGTTGGTCGTCTCGTCAGCATCTTAAACAACCCTCTTTTGCCCCCCCCCCCTCTCTCTCTTCCCTCCTTTAGAGCCAAATTTGTCTTGGATTTTCGTAGACATTAAGGTACTGTATTTGCACTTGTCACACTTTGATTTTGGGCTGATGTCGGAGGAAAAAGGGTTTTCTACGTTAGTTGAACGGAAAAAATTCACCCCTGCTTCTTTGCCAATAGGTCTTTCCCACCCCCTTCTTGCTAGGCCAGGTTGATGATGCCCTTGACTACTCGAGTATAGTACGAGTACTGTACAGTACTAGTATACTACATGATACCCCACTGATAAATTATCGAATGACTTCCTGGTACTCGAGTACTGTACAGTACGAGTACCGGTGCCGTGCGTGACGTGGCGATTCCATCAAGCTACCGATAGTTTTCTAGTCGGTTGTCTAACCTGTGCATCCGTATTGCCGGTGGTCAAGATATAGATGCATGTACCCGCAATATTACTCATCTTATCGCCAAACTGCGGTAAGTTAAATCCCCGGTACCCGAAGGGCCCTCTCGGTGATTAGTAATAGAAAACGTCCTCAGTCCCAATCATGGTTCAAATGCAGAATTTTTGGGGGTTTTCCAATTCATGCAATAGATCTGAGTTCTAACATGGATCACCCATTTATCCGTTCCCGCCAACTGCCCATGACTTTCTTTCGGTCGAGGGTGGTGGTGAAAAAAGTTATGGTAAGTCTAGTCGATCATTCAGGTGGAGAGAGGGTGGCAATGCACAAAAATCCTTTACATACGAGTACCAGGCTACGGTAACGGTAGTAGCCTGAGCGCATAGACCGTTCCGAGGCTCCACCTTCCAACGCACAGCTAGCTACAAACGCCAGTCTCCAGAGGGGTGATAACTCATGATCAAGCGCCGGTCCGCATTATCTGAACCAATCACTCAAGGATCCTCCCCCGCAGACCAACAGTTCTCTCTGAAAAGGCCAATCCACCCCCATCCTCTAACAAAGGCCTCTCTCTCCCTCTCCCTTTCTTCACGCCCAACGGCAGCGCAAGTCACACAAGACTTTATTGTAGTGACACGGAGTCGTCCGCCGTAACACGAGTGTTTCAGCTCAGCCGTACGACTCGATGATAGGATATCGGGGAATGGCATTCTCAGGGTTTGACGCTTGAGTTAATCCTCAACCCGGGGGGGCGAATTTTTCCCCCGAGAAGTCTCGAAAAAGAGCACCCGTACCTGTACTCGAGTACTCGTACAGCTACGGTACTCGATTATCGCGTTGCCTGTTTTTTGTTAGGCTTAACTTTGCAGTTTCCGGTATCGATAACCTGCGCCACTCACCCCCACCTGGACGAGGAAAGCTTCTGTACGGTAGCAACGCGGCGTGGCGGGGGGAGGATGGATACCTCCAGGTATCATGGTTGAAAAATACGGGGCGTGCGGTGAGTATGACCCCGACTCAGCCTCGCGAGTGAAGCTTGTTTTGGTAACCGGGTCCGGGGTAGAGTATTTATACTCATGATTATGATGATGATGATGATGATGATGATGCTCGTACGGGGACCATTTAACGCCGGAAGGAAGGAAGGAAGGGACTAGTTGACAGCTGTACTGTACTGTACAGTACTGGTACTATTCCCGCACCGGCACAGCATGAGTCGATGGGAGTCCGAGGAGGAGCGCGCGGCGAATACCCTTGTTGAGGATGATTATGCGGTTTGGGATTTGTCACGGGCAGTTGTGGCTACAGCGCCTGTAAATTATGGATGGAGGTGAAGCGAGTGCATCAACTCTGTTCGCTTTTTGATACGCATAAGTTACCGCATATCTGGCGCACGTGGTTGACGCCCGCTGCGCCACAGGTCGAGCGAAAGAATTGAGCTTACGGCAATTTGCGATATCACACACACAACTACCGTATCATAATAATATTATTATTATTGTATAATAACCATATCAACTTTGAAAAAAAATCCGTCATCATGTCTTAGAGACAAGTGCAGTTCATGAACCGGATAAAAGGAAAAAACGCCACCCAACCACCCACACACACACCCATAAGGGGCAAAGCTTGTTCCGAAGGGAACAAATTCTTCGTAGAAACCCAAGAACCAACAATAAATCCAGAGATCTTCACTAAATCGGGATTAAAACATCGCCTTACCCAAGTATATCTGTCTTGAAAGCGGGACGAATCCTTTCTTTCGGGAAAGCCTTTCGCTGCGCTGCGTAGGAATCATTTATTGACAGAACTTATCGTAATATTATCCGAGTATTATCTCAGGGTGTTACTGTATTATACCGAAAAATATTGCTCAACGCAAAATTTAGTAGCACGAGACCAATGCTGCTGCCCAACAAAAATACGGTGGGTTGTATGATAATATTATTATTATGATAAAAAAATAAAAAAAAAGGGTAATCTGATTTAGTCAGTCGCCAAGAAGTTAAAAAGAGCCACTGCTAAGGGAACTGAACTTACAGTGAATCCTCCAGCAAATTTTTTGTTGAGCCGCAATTTTTTTTTTTTTTTCAGCACGTCTGTGCGCTCGTCCACCTTTGAAAGGGGGGATCCACAAGAGAGCCGCCAAGGTGCTGTTCCGACCTGCATTCGGGAAATCACCCATCACCAGCACCCAATCACGATGCGAGAAATAGTTCCTGCCCTTCGTGTAGAGCTCAGGGGGTTTGCCGGCACATAGTCTATCGTAATTCTTGCACTGTGCTCTTGCTCCGCTGCGGCATGATGGAGTACCAGTACCGTAGCAGGCTGTGGTACTCGTACAATACCGGTACCGGCACGGTACTTGCCTCTCTCTTCCAAAAGTAATCAGGTATCCCGAAAATCTTGGCGTTTAGCTGTCCCAAAAAACAGTGCCAAGATTTCCCGATTGCTTTTGGAAGGCGAGAGTTACGGGTTTACAGTATCATGCCAGTTGCTGGGGTGCATCACCTGTGTGTGTTTAAGGTAATCCAATTTCTCGGAAATGGGGGTTGCTATACTTGTCCCAGGCAATCAAAAACGGGGCTTCGCAAAATACGGTACCGGTACTCCACGGCCGGAGACCCAAGGGGTCATCAGCTCGCGCACTTGTCCGGACTGCCGGTGTGCCTGATGCCGTGTTGCCGGTGGCTTCGGTTTTAAGATTGCTCTGCTGAGTTGCTGGTGGTGCGATACTTGGAATGGGAGTACCGGTAACTTGACTGCTCGGATGTTCATCATATTTATCACCTGTACAGTACTATCGTCATCGTCATCATCGTCATCCCCACACGAGTACTCGTACAGTGCAGTGCGGAAGCCTACGCCTGGATCCAATCATCACTTCTCCCTGTGGAAAATGCTGCTTTGTTGAAAATTAGGCTGAGCTTTAACACCCCAGTACTCGCTGCTCGTACTGCTGTCTGTTTGTCTCGGCACGGCTGTTCTCAATAGGATTGGTAACAAAGGGGCGGGTGTGGGCTTGGATGTGTACTCGAGTACTCGAGCAGCAGTGTCGCACGCCACAAATCTTTGACAAAATGGAGAGATCGTCTGCCGCTCCCGTACCCAAGAGGTTTACCCTGTCAAGTGCTGCATTGTCGGTACTTGTACGAGTACCGTACTCTTGTTCGTCTGCTTCTTCTTCTGGCACGGTGTAAGCAAACGAGTACCGCTAAGTCATTGCCGGACGGAAAGTGGTTTGTATGACAGCTTACTGTACTCGAGCGCACTGCGATACCCTGCTCAGATTATTTGAAGGGTTAAAGGTGAAAAGGCTCACTTCAACATCAGCCTGTTCGAATACCGGTACCGTATCAAGGCCCTTAAAGTTATCGCCCACAATGGTATTATCGTTACTGTAACCCTTTTTTTATATCCTACTCTGCTGGTACGAGTACTAGTATAGCGCACCGTACTGTACAAGTAATCCCTTCCCCTTTGTTCTGCTATAACCGGTATTTCCTGTTCAGTTCTCGTCCTCAGACCCACCCCCTACTCCACTGGTGCTCGAGACGCGCGGACACTTGACCTCGGCCGAACTGGACAAGCAGTACCGACTTGGGATCGATCGGTACAGTACATGGACCGTGTCACCATCCTCACAACCTCTTCAATCTCAACTTCCCAAGATCCACGGATCCGCTCTTTTCTCATTCCTTTTTTTCATTCCCCCCCCCCCATTCCTTTTTCTTGTTCCTTTTTCTTGTTCCTTTTTTCCTCCCCTTCCCTGCGTGGCTGTTTGTATGTCTGTCTGTCATGTCGGGTCCGGCGTAGCCCGCAAATCAACTGCGGTACGGGTACTTATATAAGCACTGTACGAGTACCGGTAGTAAGGTATCGGTGCCTGTACTCATACTCATACTCGAGTATACACCCTTGGCGGGAGAGATAGGCCCGATGGGGATTAAACTGAATTAGTCAAACATACAAGTATATGTTCTTACTGGGAGGTTAGTGTACTCGTACTTGTCCTAGGCTAGAAATACGGTACCCGAAAATAGGGGATACACTCCACAAGTATACTGAGTATTGGCGCTCAGATTTTTCATCGTAAGCAAGTATTTCTTTGATCCATGTTTCGGGCACAAGTACGGTTTCCATTCGACTGGCTGTTTCGAACTGGTGCTCGTATCTTCTTCCCCCTCTTTCCTGTCCCTTGTCAGGGATCGAGCGGGCGGCAGGCATAAAGGAGGGCGAGAAACCATGGATCCAATCATAGGAAACAAGGGACCGGGCTCGGTTTAATTCGATTTTGGTGTTGGCAGCCGCACTCTTCCCATGTCTTCGCGGGTACAGTATGGCCCATATGGTACATTGGTACTTGTACCATACCATGGCTTAGAGAGGAGGGGAGGGATAACAAATGGAACAAAAAGCTGAGGCTTCGCAGAAGTGAGGGGGAAAGAAAGGCTCACGGCGCGATGAGGCACAAAGCACGCGGGTAAAAAGGTCTGGAAGGTTGGATGGAAGCATTCCGGTGGGAAAACAACCCGCAGCGCAAGCACCGCACGGTGTTGGTCCTTTCCAGGTGCAACGACTTGACCCTACGCAGAAGAACCCCAAGTTTCACTAAATTCAACCAATATTTCACCAATCTTGGACCCTGATAATGCCATTGACGGGCGGGGGCCGCGTCATAGATTTTTTACTACTTGTGCTGTACAGTACCAGCATTCTCTGCTTGCGATTTTCTGAAGTTTGTGAACATAGTTGCTGTTGGATATGGGGCACAAAATGGGCTGGAGCCTCAAAATTTTGGTAGCACTTACTGTATGCTGTGGTGGTTGTGTTCACAAACACCAGGAAATTACGAGTGCGCAGGTATCGTACCGGTAATTGGATTACCAATGCGGCGACGGGTCTTTTTTTTTTTTCCCCTTCCTTCTTAGGAAGTGTCTCGTCCTTGAATATCCTAAAATGTGTCTTTCCTGTCCCCTTTCCATGAGTGCAAGCAAGTTGGGTGATTGTGCGTGACCCAGCGGGAGAATCGGGAGTGAAATGTCCCATTTGTCTCCTCCCTCTCGGAAGTTGAATAATAATCCAGTCCATTCTTTTATTTTTCTTCTTCCCCCTCGCTTCTCTCCTCTCATCTCTCTCACATTTCCTTTCCCTCTCATCGTCGTCAGCATTTTGTCTGCCGTTTGGGCTTCATTTGTATCGCACAGTTCTACACCTTATCTTGCTGTTTGAGGCTCTGCTGGATTACTATTATATCTTTGGTGATTTTTGATGACCCGGGAGACCGATGGTGCATCTATTGTAGGATACGGTACCGGTACGGTATTGAACAAGTTTTTCTAACATTCAGTCTCCTGTCGCTGCACCCACCTGCACTTTACTGCACTTGTGTATGTGCTGGGTTGTTCACCCTAGAAGCACAAGCACTGTGGTAGGATAGGGAATTACTGGTAGACCCGAGTATCCTGTGCATGTACGAGGTACATACTGGTACAGTGCCGATGTTTGATCCCCCTGTTTTTTTTCTTTTTTTCTTTTATTTTATTGCTTATTGCTTTGCAACCGCCAGGAACAGGAAGGGGTCTTTTTGAACCGCCTGACTCGTGCACGACAGACGATTAGCCAGGGAAGGGGGTTCTCCGCGTGCCATACAATACTCATCTTCCGGTATCGTGTAAAGGTATCATACTCGAGCAAGGTCATCAAACTTAAACTCCTCCACTCGAACCTTTGCTTTTGAGATTTCTTTCTCTTTGAGAGGTTTTTCTTTTTTGCTTGCAACTTAGCTGTGTGTCGTGTTTGCCGGTCGGGCACGACTTTCTTGGCCTTCAACAACGAGAACGCCGTCCAACAAAAATTTGCTCCAGGTACCCTTACAGCAGCCAACTGGACACGAGCAGTACAAGTACTCTTGCATACCTTTCCCGTGCACGCACAACTCGTTCGCACAATTATCTAGGCCTCACATAAGGCCCCCCCCCCAAAAAAAAAATACACACCCGCGCGCGCATCAACCCCTACGCGGGTGCTTTGGCTGTTGATAGCTTCTTTGAGAGCTTGGGTGAAGGAAGAGACTGGTTGGGCCTCTCACTGATTTTCTCTCTCTTTCTAGTGAGCAGTGGTAATTCCTTCAACTGCTTCTTTTAACCGTAGTCCGAACCTTACAATTGTGCCTTACCTAACAGAACCCTGTATTGTAAAATCAAGCAGCAGCAAGCCTCCACTCCACGAGTGCATACGCCTCTTATCCCTACAAGTCTCTATCACTTCTCTTATTGTCCTCATCCATATCCCCACGTTGCTTTCTTTCCTTTTTTAAGAAACCTGAAGCAGGGCTGGGGCACTCCCCCTCTCCCCCCACCCCACCCTTCCCCGAACGTAAAGTGTGTCGGGCAGAAGAAGCAAGAAAAGAAAAACCACATAACTGACGACACGAAAAAGTATTTTACAAGTACTGTCCCCACCCCTTTCCGGAAGGATCACACACACTTTGGAAATACTTAAGAGGCTTTTCGCCCAATATATGCAACTCTTGCGTCGCTTTTTCAATTCTTCCCGAGAGAAGGATAGAAAAACGAATAAGAGAACAATAGCGGTGGCTAAGGTGGATAGGCGCAGAAGCTCCTTCCTGGCAACTGATCCAATGAAGCGACTCACCAACTTCTTTGGAAGCTCCTCTTCCGAAGAGGATGTTAAGCAACAGCAGAAGCAGCAAACACTCGCTATCGGGGTGACCACTGCTACCGCTGCTTCAATAACCGGGGGGACTGCGGAGCCAACGGCCCTGGCGACGGCGACGGCGACGACACCCACGACTCAAATTCATTTACCACAACAAACTGTGCAAGTGGGCCTTCAGGTACCTCCCACTCCCCCGCTTCCGCCAAAGGAAAATTTCCTCACATTACCCGAATCACCTGCTACCGTTGGTGTGAATGGTCGACAAAATGCTCCAAGACTCTCCATCTCTTGCCCGTCCCCAGCCTCCACAAAAACAGTCAACGATATTGGTGAATCCCCGACCCCACCAATGAGTGGATCGAATCAAAACTACGGGGGTTTATCACCTAACATTCAACCCCTGCCAGCATCCCCGCACCCTATTTCTCCCATCGCTTCTCTCGGAGGCGGGAACAGAAACTTTTCAGGAGCTTCCTATGCTTCCTATGCTTCCTACGCAACCACTTCATCAAGACCTAATTCTTCACACATGAATTTCCCCATTGCCCCTAGTCCTGCTCCGAGCGAGGTTGCCCGTGGCGCTCTTAGGAGAAAGCAAAGGAGTGGCGGTGGCGGTGGTTTGTTTGGAAAGAGAAAGAAGGATGATGTAGACAGTCCTACTGCTTGGAGGTTGACGAGGGCAAGCACCGAAAATTTGGAAGGATACGATTATGCTCCGTTAGCTAAAGGTGAACCGGTATGATTACCCCCTCTCTTTCAACCTCGACCTTTCCAGCTGTGGTCGAGAGAGACATACCCCTGTTTATTTTGTTGGCTGACTTGTTTCTTTAAGGTGCCAGATATGTGGGATGACCGGGGAGATACCTTAGTTTTTCTCGCCCCTAGAAACGTGCCGAACCCTAAATTTACGGCTCCCTCTTTCCGCATATCTTCCACTCCATTACTACTCTCGGCGCTCGGTCAATACGTTGAAGACACACAATACGGATCTCAGGACGGATCAACAAGCCCTGGGGGCACAAGACTGGAACCTGACAGTTTGTTTCTGGATGTCCCTACTGGAGTCCCTCAGCGGTCCTCCAGCCGGAATTTCTCGAAGCCAGGAATACCTGCCACCGAGGATCCGATAACTGTCGGCGGGGGTCAGGGCGTTCCGAACGGGGGCTCTCCGCCCCCCCCCGAATTATCACGAGATGCTCGGTCTCTCGATCAAGCCATGCCCGATGCGACCCTTTCTTACAGGGTTTACTATCCTGCTTTAGAGTTTGATCCTCGACCTTCCAGTCCGCCAAAGGATGGCAAGGGGAGGAAGCACAAGCATAGCAACTCTGTCGCCGATGAGACGATCCAGCGGTTGATTGATGCGCGCAATCTGTTCGCGTTCCTGAATTGTAATTTCCTGGTCGGCACTGTCGACCGGGAAATGCCGTTTCACATATTGCAAAAGGTCTTTGAGATGCTTCAGGGACCGACATCACCTACACTTCGCCATGAGGACCAGTTGGATGCCAACGGGCTGGGTACAACTGCTATGGCCGAGAGTAATTTCCTGCATTATGTTGGGGCGCTAACGATAGATGACCTGAGGAATGACGATGATGCTATTGTGGAGGCGCTGATCCTGGCTGAGAGGTGGAGATGTTCGGTGTTGTATCATGAGGGGTTCGTCCACGCTTGTGGTAGGTGGGAGGAGATCAAAGACCATCCCGGGTTCGCCCAGGTATCGGAGCGGACTAAGAAGCGTCTTGATCGGGCATCGATCGACATGCATAATGTCCGCATCGCGAGCGTTTCCGGCCGGCTGAGCAACTTTGACTACCCATCGATATTCACTGGAGATGGAAAATACCCCGAGTATAAGCCGTGGAGATTGGCTTTCGATGCCATGAGGAAACACACTCTCAGCTATTACAAGCATGTTTACGGATCATGGCCCCCAAGGGCGGGGAAGCGAGGGAAGGGTGGTGGATACAGTGAAACTGGCGGGCTGAACAGAGTTGTGCTGCAAAGGGTTTACAATGACTTTTCTGCGCTGTACGATCTTGTTGTGGATCGCGAATGGATCCACGGCGAGCGTATTCACTTTGAAACTCTATACAGTTCCGACGGGGATGATGCGGGGGCTAGGGAGAAGGAGGAATCTGCTAGGACGACGATACGGAAGATTCAGCAAACGTATGATCAGTCTGGCATGCCGGTGCAGCCGAGCATGCCGTTTGATCTTCCCCGACTACCGTACATTCCGGCTACCCCTCCGCCAACAGCTAATTCCAAGCCGGCGAAGAAGTCGAAATCGAAGTCCAGCAAGAAGTTGAAGGGGAATGAGTTGGGCTCTGTCCTGCGCAACTCGTACAACCAGGATTCCTTCCGCCGCCAACCGCCGAATGAATTTGCGGAGATGTTCAAGCAGCTGGAGCAGGAATTTGGAAATGGAAAGACGGTTGAGGATCTTATTGACGCTAGAAGGGGAAGGTGGTTGTTTATCTATTGTGTCTGTCAGTCGCTGCCATTGGTAGTGGTGGATGCTCCTGGTGTTAGGTATAGTGATCGTGTGGAGTATTTCCTGTGCAAGAATCTCAAGGGAACACTGCCATGGCAGAAGGCCGGCAACCGCCGAGCTAGTAGATTGAGCGGTATTTGGGTTCCTGGGCCCGGCGGATTGCTCTCGGCTGCAGGAGGTGGGCAAGATAGTGTCGATGCTGGTGATGATGAGATTGAGTATGTCTACAGGAAGAGTCATTGCTGGACAGTCGCTGAGCAGTGGAGAATGGTGTCTGGACCGGCTGTTGAAGATTTGGAAGGGGTTGAATTGGAGGGTGGAGAGGATACTGAGTTTTTGGCATTTCAGCAGAGCTTGATGGGTGGTAGTGTGGATGCGGATACTGGATCGCCGGATATGTCGCCGGGGGTTGCTACACCGCCTTTCCACGGAGCTTACTCTGGGATTGATGGGGTCGTCGGTGCTGAACGGAATTCTATCCAGTACTATAATCCGAACAATCAGGTTCCGCAAAGTCCGCAAGATCAGATCTGGGCCGGTCAGCCGGTACCTGCAAACGCTCAAGATTTGTACCTGGAATACCTACAGCGACAGGAACTGCTTAGGCAGCAGTTTGAACAACAGCTCCATCTCCAGCAACAGCGCCAGAGTTACCTCCCAGCGTCTCAAGGCTTCCCGCCATTTCCACCAATGCATCCAGCCGATAACTCCGAGCAACCTCCCAACTCTAGGCTCTCACCACCGCCTCCTCTCTGGCCCCTACAAATTCCTGATGAGACCAACGTTCAATACCAACCGTCGGAACGGTCCCCCGACAACGAAACCGTTCCGCGCACTCAGGAGGAATTCACAAAGTACCGCCAAGCCCACTTTGAGCAATTTCAACGTCAAAGACAAGCTTCGCCCTCGCCGCCTCCGATCAGGCTTAGCAGCGAGGACCCCGCTGGAAGCCCTAGTCTTACCGCTCTTCCAGGAAGCCCCATACCCGTAAACGGGGAGAGAGTGTTTTCTCTACCTGAGGTCCGCCCGTTGTCGCCGCCACGGAAAGCGCATACCTGGGGTGGACAGTTTGATCCGTAGGGGAGGGTGGGGGGCCCGGGAGGAAGGCGGATTTGATTTGGATCAAGGGAGGAATGTTGTGAATGGTCGGTCAATGGGAATGGAAAAGTGGGAAATGGGAAAGGGGGATAATTAGATAAAAGTTGAACATCATCCCTCGTGGATGTCTTTTTGTGTTTTTATCGATTCGTTAGCTTTCCTTTGTTCTCAAGAGGCCTTTTCTTGTCCCTCGTTTTAGTGACCTCGGTAATTTTGGTAACTTTCGTTGGGTATGAATGGAGGTAATAGTAATTTCGGCTCGGGATTAAGTTAGATGGTGTATTATATTTATTCCTCCCCCTTTCTCTCTTTTCTCTCTTTTCTCTTCTCTGATTTGTTTTGTGTTGCTTTGCTCTTGTGCTACGATTTCGCGAGGTGGGAGTGGAGGATGGGTATTTGGGCTTTCACGTTTTTTCTTTTCTGTTTTTTAGCGCGTGGAATATGAACATGAGACTGGCGGGTAGATTGGTACTGTACGGTACTGTACTCGAGTACTGAGTGTCGATCGAATCAATATATACTTACTGGCCGGGTGGGGCAATATTGGATGTCACGGCAAACACCGTATGGTTGGGTAATTTAGGCAGTGAAAATAGACAAGGAATGCAGTGCGGGGTTCTCAAAGATGAGTTTGATATGTACTAGCGCGAGGTTGAATAATTTGTGACATTAAGAATCACGGCAATTGTTTTTAGGAACTTGGTCCGGGGTCTGGTTAGTACTCCGTAGCGTTGATGCTGTGCTGAACATGCTGGCGTGAGATCATTGATCATCACTCGCTTACCCAGGTCACACTCACATTCAGATCGAGAAAGCATTACTGCATGTTGACAGAGAAAATAGTGCAAGCGGTATGATAGTGGCATTTAGACCACGCCTCTGAAAATTGAAAGCTTCCGAAGGTGTCGGGCGCGCTCCATCAGCGGCTGGGAAGAGAGATTGTGTTTACCGGCAACGTCGATGGTACGATACATATCAACGCACAACGAGTGGATGCGGTGACAGTTTAAAAAAGTTTTGGGATAGGCCGGGAAACGATATAGGGTGTTTTTATTATTATTTTGAAACTGGGCTGGGCCGAGTGCTCGAGAACTCCGGATTGTGTTATGCTGAGATTTTGTTGTGCTGGTGGGCGGTGAGTTGGGGGGTTCCGTGCTGGGGTTGGTTAGTTAGGCTGGGTAAGTTCTAGCAGCTCGAGGATGGCTTACACTCCGGACAGCCCATCACGGGCTCGCTTGTTCGCAGGAGCACCGTCATACTATACTATTATAGCTAGAACTATGATAGCAAAGATTTGTTTGTGATCATTAGTTATCACTCGTTTGGTATTTTGGCTCGGTTGGGGGAAGGTGTTACGAATTGGACGGTTTTGTTGTGCAGCGGAAGATTGTTGATTAAGTCTTACAGCTAGCTGAGCGAAACAAGAACGGTATATAGTCATGCCCAAACGCAGTCACATGACTAATGATACGGAATACAAACTTCCACGTACTACCCAGTACAACCCAGCATACGCAATAGTGAGTAGGAAGCCTAGGCACTTCCCTCACGACACATCAACCCAGAGGAGTAATTCTCAACAGAAGGGAGTTCGATTCTCCAGGGGGTGAAAAGGAAGGCGCGTTAAGAGAAGCTGATGAGCTCTAACCTTCGAGAGCGCGTGAATGGATTGAAGTCCCTGATCTCGCGGCCCTTCCCCTGCTGGCATTTCCTAAATGCCTACAATAGGGCGGGGGGGAAAGGGGAAGTTGTAGATTGTTATAGAGCTGGGTTATCTGTAAGCTTACTATTAGATCTAGTGTAGGTTTTGCTGATTGTGCAGGCTGATTGCTGAGATTTTTTGAAAGAGTTGGTGGGGTTTTGTTGTCCGGTGATGTTTATATGGAGACTGAGCCCTTGAAGGAGTGGGATAGGGTAAGTGCAGAAGCCAGGCGTTCGTGTCCCGTTTCTGTTGTGGGTTCTGGATGGGGTGTTGGATGATCGGAGTTAATTCTGGAAGTTGCGGAAGTCTGTTGGATTATTCAAAGGCTTTGGGGATTTACGGAGGAGGCTCTCCGTGCACGTCTTTCCTTTGTTGCTTGCCACGGGAGTATACGAAGTTATAGAGGCTTGCGCGAAGATATAGAGATAGGTGTGGCGATCTATGGAGGAGGGGGGAGGGATGCGTTGGTTGTGTTTTATTTATGCACAAGTCTTTTCCGAGGAGTGGGAATGGATAATGGGGGGGGAAGCAGGGGTTTTAAGATGCGCATTGGCAAATCCTTACCATGTTCAAGAGCTTACGACGTTTTGTGTCTCGGGGCTTTAGACACCTCTCCTAACACTTCCTTGGTTTTATAGTTTGGGCATAGCTGGGTTGCTTGGATATTGTAGACGTATAGAATCCGGGTTGGGCGGAGTGGACCATTTGTGGGGGAGGGGGGAGGGGGAAAAATATATCCGAGTATCATACTAAATTTCCTTTGTGAACGGGATAGACCTCTTCTGTCCGCGATGGGATGGACTAGTTATAGTATTGGTAGGTTATCCTCGGGTTGCGCTGCGGTTGCGTCTCTACTATGATACCCATCCGTCCGCTTGAGTTATGATATCCCAGCCAGATACTGGCTCAACAAGAGGCAGCATCCAAATTTGTTCTTTGGCCTCTCCTTCTCTCCCCCCTTTCTATTTTTTCAAAAGCAAGGTTTTGGATATCTACTTGATATCATACAGTTTGCAGACTTCTACAGTATCATAATCCTCACCTAGTGATCGTTCCATCAGGTCCGATTGTTAAGATCAAGGTTTCACGTGCATTTTACCGAGACGTTAAGAGAAAAGAACCTTTTAGCCTGAAGCAAGTGGCCTTGCTCTCAATAGTATCATAACCTTTTTTTTACCTTCGGATTTCTTTGTTTGGTTTATTAGGGCTTGGTCGTTGTCCCTGTTGATTCTATCTAGTACGAATTAGTGGGGTTTGTTCCGTGATGTGAGCATGTGCAAGCTTTTGCTGCGGATGGGTGCGTACTGTATGATAGGACGAAGGAGTATGGCGATTTCACTAGTGATCTTTTGTGATTATAGATAATGGTGTTTCTAAGGAGTCCCTCGGTCCTAAGTCTGATTCTTTTACTGGGTTCGTGTGTCACGTTTTTTTCCTTTTTTTCTTCACAAGTTGCGCAATGGGATGTGGGAGGTATGGGGTGATAATGATTGTGGGAGATATAAGCAAGTTTTCTACTATTAAATCGGCAAGAGGAGATAAATATATTCACCCCGTCTAAGAGAAGATGATATCAGGACAAAACTTCCCCCCCATTCCCGCCAGTGCTACTAGTGCCCGGCGGCTTCTCCTCTTCCTCCTCCTCCTTCGGTCCCTGGGGGGGACACACGGACACCCGCCCAGCGCCCCCCACCCCTCCTCCATTTCCACCAGCAGTCTCCAACTTCTTCAACTTCTCCCGCAACTCCATAACTTCAATTGTGATCTCGTCCAGCTTCTCTCGCAGAGATACGAGGTCCAACCACTCTTTACTCTTGCGCGACTCCTCGCGGTTCTTGTACGAGCCTCCTTTTTTGTGAGCGTGGAACAACATGGTCTGGTCGTTCACGTCCTCGAGAAGGTAGTTTCGAATGCGGGTCTTCTCTGCCAGTTCCTGGCTAATGGATTCTACAAGTTCTGCGGTTTTTGGCATTTTGAAAGTGTTGTTTTTTGAGGCGAGGTATGATTTGTTGGTGGTTTGGGGGGGGGTTCGGAGGAGTGGTTAGTTATATTTGGGAGTAGTGGAGCAGGAATAGAATTGAGTGGATGAATGCGGATACTATGATAATTTTTTCCGGGAGGGACCAGAAGGAGTTCTTGCATTCCTTTTTAATGGTGTTGAGTGAGTGGGTCGCTTGAATGGATTTGAAAGGTTCTCTTTTTCAAGTTGAGATGTTGGAATGTTCTTTGTTCAGGTTTGGGAATGTAGTGTCGGGCGGTGTATGTAATTGCGCAATAAATTCATGCTTTCAAGTGTTCAAAGCGGAGAATGCTTTGATCTTGTCGCGATCTGCTTTGTCGGGGACTTGGAGATAGTAGGTGGTTTGGTGGGGCGTTTCGTTCGAGTCACCAGAGGTCACTATCTGTAGATCTAGTGTTTAGTAGGCCAAGCGCCGAGGAGGCGGCGATGAGTAGGAGACAAATCAAAATTGCAGCATTTGGATCTAGCTACATCTCTCTCTATTATCTGAACCAAACCCTTTCCGGGTCAAAAAACCGAAGGTCTCCGAATAAGGATTCTGGGGAAAGCCGGAGAGCCTTTCCCCCCTTGAAGGCTCGGGGTTCTAGTGGGAAACTAGACCTTGTGAGTAGCAAGGTACGAGCCATGAAAACGGTTTATTTGGTATGATTTTCTTTGTTTGGGTCATTGGGGCTTGGTTGTTGTGCCTGTGGCGTTAATTGTATCTATCATACGAATTTTGTCACACCCCGGGAGGATGCCAAAATGCTGTCTTGGTGTGATATCATAGTGTAGTGGGTTTTTTTCTGTAGGGGCACTGTATGAGCTGGCCTTTGCGCGGATGGTGCGTGCAATTAGAGGGGATTGGCTATTGCGCGAGTGATCTTCGGTGATTTTAAATGATTGTGAGTTTCTATAGTCTCTCAGTCCTCAGTCTGATTCTTTTACTGGGTTCGTGAGTCACTTTTTCCTTCTTTCGTTTTTTCTTTCCTTTACAAGTTTGCACAAAGGTAATGATTGAATTTGGGATACAAGCAAGTTTTTCATTATTAAATCGGTAAAAGAAAATAGGTTCACCTTATCGAAGAGAAAATATCAGGAGAAAACTTCCCCCATTCCCACCTGCGCTACTACTCCCCAACATCTTCTCCTATCCCCCTCTCCTCAGTCAACCCCTAAAAAAAAAATACACCGGCCCAGCGCCCTCCCATCCCCTCAAGCTCCGCCGGCAGCCCCAAGCTTCTTGTTCAACTTCTTCCGCAACTTCGCAATCTCAATCGTGTTCTCGTCCAGCCTCTTGCGCGCCGCTACGAGGGCCAGCCACTCTGGACTCTTATGCGACTCCTCGCGGTTCTTGTACAGCCCGCTACTTTTGAAAGCTTGGAACAACCTGGTCTGGTCGTCCACGTCCTCGAGAAGGTCCCATCGGAAGAGGGACTTCTCTGCAATTTTATCTCGTGTTTTTTCTATGGTTTCTGGCATCTTGAGAGTGCTGTTTGCTGAGGCTAGGAGTGGTTTGTTGATGTTTTTTTTCGGGGGGGGGCAGAAAGTGGCGGTTATTTATACTTGGGAGCAGCGGGGCGGGAATGGAATTGTGTAG